AAAGAGCACAGGGAAAGCAGGATATATACACACTTTTTTAAGATAGCAGCTTACCTACTGTTTTTGTCTCAGAAAAAAAGTGAGTCAAAATGACTTCTGCTGAGCCTAATTTGTTATGTCTCCAGGCATAACTAATTATCATGACTTAGCCCAGCTCTGAATTCTTCCCAGGGGTTTTGGTGCTATTTCTTCTGTTTTGATTTATAAATTGTCTTTATTTTACTTTCCTCCTACATGTTCTGTATAAACTTTTTGCTCCCTGCCTTACTGAGGAGCCAGGCGCTGGTGTGACAGTGCTATCGCAAGGTGTAAGACAGAAAGGGGATCTGTTAACCAAAGCCTTTTCTTCGAGTGTTCAGCAATGCTTTCTTCTGGCATCTGCCTCATGGGCCATCTCAAATGGTCTCTTCTCCCCAGAAGGCATTTTTGTTCTGCTACTTACTTATGGGCTTGCCTGCAACCATCCTTGGGCTAGAGGAGTTGTGGGGCTTGGGGTTGGCTCCATAGCTCAGAGGGCTTTGGTTACAGCCTTCATCCCGCAGCAAGGAGTTTTCTGGCTTCTCCACTGACATACCAGAATGAATTACAGTTATTTTCTGGTTCAGCTGTTCCCTTCACAGTTGACACAGTTTTTCTAACCTCAGCAACAAATTCTGGGGGAGAAGGAAATCCATCTGCTCTAATCATGGGGTGTCAATTGTAGTAAGCAGGAGCCGATACTGCCATTGAGCCTGGGCTTGGGAGACCATCTCTGTTCAGGATGCTTTAGAAACGCTAGCAGCCCATGGGGCAAATGGGTACTGTTTGCTTAGGAGACAAGACTGCCAAGAGCAAGCAGCTCAAGTAAGGCCAGCTTTAACTGCTAGAGCATGCCACCTCTTCATTGCATTGCTTTGTTTCCTGATATATCCACTTGGGTGTTTTTGGTTTTTTTGGTTTTTGTTTGTTTTTTTTTAATGTTTGTTTTTTTAATGGGTGCATCTGAGAATGTTTTTGTCAACAGACTTCTCTGGGAGATTGTAGCACTGGTCACCCTTATGGCCCCTGGAGGACGCTTAAATTCGGCTCTATGTAAAATGGGCTGAGACCTGGGTGAGAGCCAACGCAATGCCAGTCCCAGACTGGGTCTTCTGCACTGGCTGAGGGCAGATGCTGAGGGGAGAGGGTAAAACCAGGAAAAGCAGGGAGCGATATTTCCTTGTAAGAGTCCCTCAACCTCCAACAACTTGCAGCTCAGGGATTTCCTGAACCACAGTGGTAGTTCCTGGTGGATTTTCCTTCCATTATTTTTCCTCTTAATTTCCTTTTTGAAGTCATGTAAACTCTTAGCATTCAGCATGTTCTGGGGTGGGGAGTCTCACTTGATAGCTGTGCATTTTGCGGAGTATCACCTTTTGCTATTTTTGAACCTACAACCTGCTGTCTTGATTTAATCTCCTGTGGTTCTTATGTCAGAAATGGTGAATACTCATATTCTATGACACTGATACATTTAGAGGCACCCATCAGTCACCTTTTCCACAGGATGATGGATCCTAGTTCATTTAGCCTTTCCTCACATGGAAGATGTTCCACATTTTTGAGCATCCTTTTGGCTCTCCTTCACACCTTTTTTCTGACTTTGCAATAGCTTCTGTAAGGGGAAGGGAGAACTGCACTTAGTTTTCAAGACATACGTGCAATATTGTTTTAGACACCAGTGTAATGACGTAGCCTGTTCTCGCTTTCTTTCTGAATTGTTTTGGTATGCTGGTTATATTTCTTAGGGGCTAAAATCAATGGAAATATTCATTAAATTTTTAGTCAGACTCATCCAAATAATCCTCAGGGCTTTGGAGTCCTGACTTAGCGGGATTTCAGTGGTTCACAGGCTGGCTATGGTCACTAGTGAGCATCATCTGAAAATACCTGATGATTACAATATCACATGCAGCGGAGTGCACAGGGAGGTGCTGAGCAGATCAGCAATTTCCTTGCCAGGCATTGCAGGTGCACAGCTGTGATCACGGCTCTGTCACTGCCATGACAGGGGATTAGGGCACAGGATTGCAATGTGGGGCATGTCCGTAGCGTAGGTCCTGTTGCAAAGCTACACAGTCACAGTCATCCATGGCTGGCTGGGCCACACGATCTCTCAGATGGCTCTGTGGCTGCTGCACTCAGTTTTGGGCCCCAGACCTGGGGGGCTGCGGCACCTCCGTCATGCCCTTCTCCACTGTTGCTCAGACATACTAGATGTATTTCTCTGCCTGGACTGCTCTGTGGTGGGTCACCCACAGGCTGTGGCTTCCTTGCATGCACACTGGACCTGGGGCTTTTCTTGCAGAGCGGGTGTTGGGATGAAGAGGAGGTAAGATGAGAGTTGAAGGGTTTGCTCTGTGCTGGTAACAACTAGGTCTGAGCCTGTTGTTAACAGTTTATGTGACCACGGCTCCTCAGAAGGGTGGCTGTGGAGTAAGGCAAGATTATCCTCCTTTTTCTCCCTGGAGAAAGCAGGGAGGCATGGATAGGCTGCCTTGATGTGCACCAGTCTATCCAGTGAGTCCACCTCAGACCCAGCAAGGCCCTCCCCTAAACCTGCTATACTGACACAGGGTACCTTCTTTCTCCACTTTCTCATCAGGAGCTTTGCCCAGCACTTCACATTTCATCCCTGCTTGGCCAGGGTGGAGACTGCCCTGCCTGCTCCTCCAGCCCCCAAGCAAGAGTGGCCGTACGTCTGAGTCACGATGGGCAAGATGGACAACACCTCCGTGGAGCTGAGCTCTCCCTCCGAGGTGAAGCAGGCAGCCCTGGAGGAGTCAGAGCCCATCGCCCTTGAGACCATGAGCACAAAGAAGAAGAAGAAGGAGATCCCAGACAGAGGATCCTGGAAGGGGAGATTTGACTTCTTGCTGTCCTGCGTGGGCTATGCTATTGGACTGGGCAACGTCTGGCGCTTCCCGTACCTCTGCGGCAAGAACGGAGGAGGTGAGAGAAATGCATGGTGCCTGCATTCATCCCTGAGCAGCCTTGTCCCCTGAACAGACTTCGGTTGGGTGTGGGTCTGGGCAAGCAGCTGGTCCTCTGGCTGAGAGGTCTCCTTCATGAGTTATTAAGATGCCTGGAGAGTAGCTCCCATGTTCTGTGGGCTTTACTAGCAAGTGCAGGTTGGGAAGAAGCAGGCCAAAGAAATATAACAAGAAGTTTGAGTTTTGTCAAGCTTCTGCAGTCCAAATTTGCAGGGCTACAGCAAAGAGTGTCTGGGACCTCATTTATTTACAAGAAGGGCTATGCACATAGGCACCCAGCTGAATGCTGGGGCATTCCCAGGGAAACCAGTTCATAATGGTGGGGTTTTCTCCTCAGTCTAGTGTATTCTCAAGGAGTAACAGTTTTGCATCTGAGCTTGGGTCACATGTTTGAGGAGTTTCGGTTAGGAGCTTTGCATGGACCATAGCAGGGCTGTGTAGACAGATATACAAGCATGCATACATATGAACATGTACACAGACACACGAGTGACATCATCTATGGAAGGAAATGAGCTTTGACTTACTACAGTGCTGTGAGAAGGGTTGCAGTTACCGTCTTCATCCTAATATTTGGAAAACAGGCCACAAGAGAAGAAGACACCTGGCAAAGGACTTCCAGTAACTGTGATGCCACTGGTAGTGGTGCCCTCCTCTGTGGATAGCTAACACCAGCTTTTTAAATTCTTTTTATTATTGCGCCACTACATCCTTTCCTTACCAGTCCTCAGCTGAGACTTTGGCAAACCATTGCAAGACTAGAGAAGGGCAGGCAGATGAGAAACAGTGCTGGGCTAGAAATTAAGACAACTGGGAGATCAGCTCCCTGCCCAGCTACAGACTTTCAGCATGTCTTGAATCAAGTCAGAAAGTACACTCTTGTGCCTTAGCTCCCCTCTAAAATGGTGCTATTTCTTCAGCCTTGGCAGGGAGATGCTTTTGTGGAGGGCAGTATGGGCTGCTTTGGTGTCAGTAGAGCAGAAGTTCTTTCTTTTCCCCACCCCATGCCCAGCTCCCCCATTGTTTGTGCCTGTTACTAAAATAACCTTCCCTCCCTCCTTGAAGAGCTGCTCACCTCTTTGAATCATGCCAGGCTTCCCACACAAGTCCAAACCCCTTTGCCTGACCTTTAAGGCTGTATATTTAATTTTAGTCTCGCCTGCTAGTCTTCCCATGTTGCTCTTTGCTTCCCTCTTAGCTTTTCACTGCCCAGAGTCCCTGTCCCCAGTGCCATGTTCATTCATGCTGTTCTGAAGGTCTCTTCTCATACTTCTTCTCCACAACTTTTTTCTTTTCCTTTTGTCTTGAATTCCCTTTTCAAAACCCACTTTGTCTTTGGCCTCATGACTTCTCTTTACATCAATATCCCACTTCTGCTGTCCATGCCATAGGCGGTGAAGGATGCTTTTCTGCTCCCACCTTTGCAAAGAGGAGAAGGGTCTAGCTCCCTGCAGCTGTCTGTCCATGTAGCTCCACGGCATTTAGGGGGATCTTGGCCCTTTCTCTGAAGCACATGGAGTGAGTCCCTGTGGGAGACCAGTTATCCATTTTGATAAGAAGATTTCTAATTCAGTATGTCATTTTGTGCAGAGGCGCGAGTGTGCAGCTGAGCTGGGTGAGGTTTATTGGAATCAGTGAGGTTACCTAGGGGAGCCTGTGCCACCATCACTGGAGCCACGGTGCAGGTCTGCCATTTTTATCTAGCCACACTCTGGCACCTGACTGCGCTAGCCCTCCTCATACAACGTAAGCCCCATGGCTAAGTCCCAGCAATGTTTTTTAGCCCAGTCTCTGCCCTGTGATTGCTGCGTCATCTCAAACACAGCAGATCCATGCTGCCCATGGCTCTGTCTCCTCACACATAAAGGTGGGCTTGACGATACCTGTAAGTAGATGAGGGACGTTTTGAAGCTAGAATCAATCCTATTTATAAAGTCAGCTGCAATCCCAGGACGAAGGGTGCTGTGGAGGTGTGGAGCACTATTATCAGCATTCGCAATGGCACACAGGGTGATCTCCGCCCTGGCAGCTGCAGGCACGCAGAGGGATCCACCGGCTGCAAGCAAAAATGCCAGACAGATGAAAAGCGGGAATTGGTACCTGCCTCCTCTCAAACACCCTGCTTCGCCTGCCAGTTCTTGCTGTTCGTGGCAGCCTGTATCACTCCTTCGTCTCACCCCTACCCGGTCTGGCTGTTCGCAGGCATGACTGTTCCTGCAGCCCGGCAGTAATGAGAAGCAAGTGGAGGCTGCTGATGCCGGAGACAGGCAGGAGAGCTGACGCACGAAAGCGTCACTGGGAGCCGATGTGGAGCAGCGAGGAAGGGTCGCACGGCATCTGATTCACAATCGGGTGGGCACCGTCTTGGCTCTGCCCCGACGGAGGTGCCTCCGGAGCAAAGCAGACTGTGGGTGGGACTCTAATTTTAGCGTCCTGCATGTGCGCTGCTGAGAGCACGGTCGTGTGGGCTGCTTCCATTACGCACAGGCAAATTGAACTGAATGGAAATATTGTCGTCTCGCTTACCGCTGTCACATTGTATTGGCTCACGGCTGATTTGCTCGGCATTGTAATCGGGAACATAATTAGGGGATATTCAGGCAGGATACGGCAGCCCAGCGCAAGGCCCATCCACTGCGGAGAGCAGGCTTTACCCAAAGTGATGCCTGGGCTCCCTGCTGGCTCTGCACACAGGTGAATGTGCTCAACTATGACTAACACTCCAGCCTCTACACCGATTTCTAACCTCATGCAGTCCTTCTGATGTCAACAGGATTTTACCGGACTCTAAATTGACTCTAAATGTGGCTCAGTAGGTGCTAAAAATTGTCTGTGAGATTCTGAGCTTGAATAACTTGAGAGAAGAACATTTCTTTAAATAAGCATCATGCATTTCTCATTTACATGTCGAGACTCCAAGCAATGGCATGTAACAGCTTGTAACGCTCAACTCTTGATTTGTAGGCAGTGTTTGCTGTTTTAAGGATTAATTATTATTCCTTGCTGTACGGCCTTAGGAGCTGGAGATGGCAGGCAGATTTGGGGCTGCACACTGAGTGCCAGGCACTGTGTGATCCTTCCCTGCCTCCAAGGACCAGCACCATCACCCCTTTGACCCACGGACTTTGGAGACAAGTTTGGGCTCTCCCCAGGTCATTCACAATGACTTGTAGCAGGCCCAGGAACTGAACCAGACATTTCAGCAGCCCATCCAGGGCCAGAGATTAAAGACCATCCCCTTTCTCTCTGTGCCAAGGATTTAGGCACAGGCATGCAAACTTTAGGTACAAATTTCAAAACTGAATTCCCCTTTGGCTGTACAGCACCTGGGGATGTTATCCATGCCTGCTTGGAGACCTGACCCTCCAGAGTGGCACTGCCATTGCCAACAGACTTCAGTTAAAGCTGTGGTCTGGTTTGTAGATTTTCCCGTATTCTAGAGGATTTTTGTCAAGCCAGGATAAATGACCCAGGTCTAAAAGTTTGTCTGTTTTTCTCTCAGTAGTCTAATAAAATCTTTCACCTACCAACCTTCCTGGCCTGCTGTAGATGAAAACGCAGGGTCACCAGGGCTGTGGCCAAATTTTGTTAGCTGCTTGCACAGAAGCAAGCAAGGCACTGTGACTACTGATAAGCTCAGTCTCCAAACTCTACAATGAAGCACAACGGTAGCAAGGCAGCATCCGTGTCCTCGGAGCAGACCCTGGCTTCCCCCAGGGCTCCTAAGGGGCTGGACCTTGCAGGCTGCGGTGGCTAGTGAGAGCAGAGAGGAGAATGCCAAGCGGGCAGTGCCTCTCCTGCAGCGATGCTCAAAGCTGGTTCCTCCTCCACACCAGGCTGCTGGTGAAGCCGAGAGCCTGTGCTTCCACGCCAGCTTGCGATTCAGGCTCATGGTCATCGAGCTGCTGGCCCGGAGCGTGTTTTCTCCCCGTCACCTGCTGCCAGCTCCTCTTGCACGCTGCCTCTGGCAGATTCCCAGGCTGGGTGCTGGCACCTGCCTCCCTCAGCTGGGCTCAGCTCCCTGCTTGGCAGGCAGGCGTCCCCAGCTGGGTGTCCCCTGAGCCAGCATCCCTGGCTGTGCCTTGCTGCTTCCCTGCCCTCAGAGAGCAGCTGCTGGAGCCTGGCTCTGCCAGGTGCAAGCTGGGCTGCAGCTCTCCAGAGTGGCTTTGCTTGCTGGCTCTGTGTTTGCTTTCCCACTAGTAACTGGAGAAGAAGACTCAGACTGACAGCTCAGCCCTCCAGCTAGTGCAGAAACCAGTGCTGTCCTGGACATGGCCAGCTGCTTCTGAGCAAACTGAGTGTGTCCTCTCTCTACCCAGCCATCATCTTCTGCAACAGTTTGTCCTCCTCAGGAATGATGGCATGATCCAGCACATGCACGAAAAAGCTGGAAAATGAGCTTTGTCCCAAGTTCTAGAAGTTGGGATGACCTGAACATGTCCAGCCTTCAAATCACATGGCGAGGCTCTCCTAATCTATTAGGTCTTCTAATAACAGGGTGCTAGTAATAGCTCCAGTGAATGGCTGCACTACCTTTCTAGTGATGAGATGATTCCATAGGGTTCATAGAGAAGTAGCAGGAATTTTAAGGGTAAAACCTAGAGCAAGGGTGGGGAAGTGTATAAAGCTGTCACAAGAGCAAATACAGTCTTAGCCACAGTTTCCTTCAAAGACTGAAATAGCTATAAAAAGAGAAAGTAGAGACCAATGCCAGATATTCCTGTGCCCTTTTCCCTCAAGGCGAAGAATTGAGAGCTGCTGCAGGCAAGACAGAAAACGTCAACAAGAACAAGTTACCAATGTCAGTACCAGGGCTTTTGGGTTCATTCTCAGATTGGGCTTAGCATTGCCTAAATATCTAACAATGAAGTGGGACTGGCATCCCATAGCTAGTGAAGCCAGTACATACATAGATATGACACATATATATCCATAGTGATAGGAACAGATAAGAGGAAGTCAGTGGGGATCTCAATGAGAGACCTACCAAACACACCAAATCCAGCTGCAAACTGTGGCCTTGGACCAAGTCTGCTCCTCATCACGTGGGTGCTGCAGAGCGAGAGACCGCAGCTGGAGGCATTTACTTCTTCAGAAAAGGGGGAGCCATCTGACATCATTGCTCCTTCTTTCAGGGGCCTTCCTCATCCCCTATTTCCTGACACTGGTGTTTGCTGGGATTCCTCTCTTCCTGCTGGAAACTGCTCTGGGCCAGTATACTTCTGTTGGCGGACTGGGAGTCTGGAAATTAGCACCCATGTTTAAAGGTACTGTACTGGAAGTTTGTGAAGGTGATGGCACGTAACTACAGACAAAAACCTTTTAATGGTTTGGGAAGAAAATCAGCAAATCCCTGGGGACTGGGATGGGGTAGCAAGTGAGGAGAGTTTTTTCCCGCTGTCTTTATCAAGCTGTCCTTGACCCTGGTGCCTGCAGTCACTAACATCACTGTGCTCTCTTCAAGCAGTCTTGCATGGTGACAAGGCACTTTTTATGAGCAGCAGAGACTGCGATGGAGAGGCTTTGGTTGCAAAAGACCTGCCCCAAGCCTTCCTGTGTAGGCTTAGTTTAATTGCATGGGAAGGGTGTAGATAGGGGACATTAACCTGTTGCTGTGTCTGGAGTAACTGCATTCTGGAAACTAGTGGTAATTTAGAAATGTCTTGGATGTGGGAAATAGCAATTCTGCCAGGGAAGTGACCGGATCCTGTTTTCATGGAGCTCTGTCCCTAAAGTACCTGTAGCATCCTGAAAGGTAGCACTGCTCAGCCAGTGGAAATGGGTGGGTGAGAGATGTGAGGGAACGACCCCTCCACGCTGCTCACAGTACAACTGTAACACACCCTGCATTGATGAGCTGATTTGCTTTTTCTGGCTCTGCCACAAAACTTGCTGTGGTGCCCGTGAGCTCAGTTGGGTACCGGCGACCTGGATTGATGCTGCTCTCTGCCTTCATTCGCAGGAGTGGGGCTGGCAGCTGTGGTTCTCTCCTTCTGGCTGAACATCTACTACATTGTCATCATAGCCTGGGCTCTCTACTATCTCTTCAACTCTTTCACTGCGGTGAGTCACAGAGGTGTCTAGGGCATGGCATTGGCTGTGTTCTGGGTCCTTACTCCCTGCTTTATGGGGGGTGAGTTGTTTATGCCACAAAACATGCACTAGCTGCTTGTAGTTTGTACAAAGAGCCTTTGTCAGCACCGTGCTGGACCATTCCCAAAGAGGTTCATCAGCCCTGGAGGAAGCTGTGTAGTGCTGGCGGGTACTGATGCTTGTCCTCTGGAGAGGATGGTCGTTTGGAAGGGATGGTCCCATCTCCTCTCTGGGAACTGTTCCCCACTCACATCAGTCTTTAAAATTCACTCTGTGTCTCTGTTGTATTTCTACAGCTGTGCGAATCTGAGAGCTGCACACTTCCACGACTGGTTTTGTCACAGCATGTTCTTATGACCCAGAACTCAATCCTGACCTTAATTAGTCCTCATTTACGCTTCTCTTGATAAATGAAATCCTAGGGATTTTTTCTGCTGGGGAAATGATTCAGAAAGCATTTAGACATCTGCTTGTGACTATCCCTTAGCATGTGCTTTAGCCTTGTGGTTTATGCTGGGTTCCTCTCCTATAGCAGGGTCTTTTACCATACAAGGTTAGAATCATGCCTCACATTCACTTCTTGGTAGCTGAATGATTTATTTCAGCCCAGCAGCTGAGAAGACCTCCCTTAACTCTCTGAGCAACCTGCAGCCTTAAAGACATCAACCCTGTGGTTCAATGGGATCTTTTTCCATTTCGTTTACACATAACCTTAAAATGCTGTTATGAAGGCTGTACATTCAGTTTCGCTTTTGTTTGATGAAAAATTTCAAGTATCTATCAAGACTTCTGCTAAAATAGTCTGTTTGGTATTCCCAGCTGGCCTTCTACCACCAATACCCACTGTAGGCTTCTGGGTCCAGACCAAAATTGTCAGTCATGGATGATTAGGAGCACCCTCGGGGGATTCCCAAATGAACAAAAGTCTACAGAACCCATCCCAATTACACCCTGGGTAGGATGCGTCTTAGGATGAAGCTTTGGTACATTCAAGTGTCACAGACCTGATTGGTGACAGTGCTCGTGTCTACACAGGCAGCTCCAGGTGTTTGGCTCAAGGCCTTTACTTTTACCAGAGATAATTCCCGATTCCCAAAAGGAGTCAAGGTGCAAATAAAAAAGCTAGGCTGATGGCTGTCCCCTGTCCCTCCTAGATTTGACTAGGAGTATTTTGAACCTGAATAGGAGCCCAGCTTTCCTTCTGCAGTTTCTGTCCTCTGAAATTCAGAGGAAATGGAGCAGCAACAAACCATCCCCCTGCCTGCCCCTCCTTATCAGAGCTGCACATCATCTCTCATGTGCAAACCTCTTGGTCGAAGGGCTGCTGTGCAGCGCTGCTTGAGCCATTGCATTTGCTTCAGTGCAATTAGCAAGTCCACAAGGAAATCACTGGGTGGGCACAAACAGCCTGGGTGGCCACCGGGGTGTCCCCACCTGCCCCTCCCATTGCCCTTCTGCCAAGCCAGTGTGCATGTTAGGGGATATCATCTGCTGGAGAGAACTGACTTAGGTGGGGGGTGAAGGCAGCACTTAAAGACACTGATGCCACAAAGCACTTAAAACACAGATAATATTTCTAAAGGGGTCTATGTTCATGGATGAATAGGAATGGATACAAACATCTCCTTAAAGCTTTCTTGAGCTGGAGCCTGAGGTCTTATCTGCAGAGGGAAATCATCCAGAGTAGCTGTTCTGCATTTATATACATGCACTGCATTCCAGAAATGAGATTGCTGCACATGGAGACGTATCTGAGCCGCTCTTGTTGGGCTCCCTCGGCCGTGGCACTACACGGCATGGGTGAGTTGCCCTGCTTGCTTTCACAGCCCCTGATGCTGTGGTTTCATTGCTTGCAGCACCAGAGCTGATTGTATTAAATCTGTAGCGGTGTGCTGCTGTCACACTACTACCTATGGTGTAAAGATCTCCCAGGAATGCCTTTGTGCTGCTTATAATCGGGGCAGGAGGCAGCATGAAATAGCTACTGTGCTTTACATTTACTCCTGGGCGTATGTTACAGTAGTTTATTCCTGTAGACAAACCGTTAGGCCCCATTCCCAATGCCATATTGCTTTTTAAGCATTGAAGCTTGATATAAATGAAAGATAAGAAACAAATCAGCATCTTTGTGCAGTAAATTCCAACCACTTCTTGAGTGACGCTAGCCAAAAGCTGTAATGATTATAAGCACAGTATCCCCCGGTAGCTATTTTAATTAGTAGCTATTAATTACTGACAATTAATTGGAAATGGCTTTCTATCTGGGGAATTACTAACATTTTACTGGAGCTACAGCATTGCCCTAATCACATTGTGACATTGTTTCCTGGAAAACCCATGTCATAATTTATCTTTATTTTGGAAAATAGTTTCAGGCTTTTGGCTGCAAGGGTCCTGCCCATCCAGAGGAGACACCCATCATCTTTGCAAAAAAACATGGGGTTTCAGTTTAAAAGAAGTCAAATTTCACTTCTTGCCACTGCCTTTGGGAGATGTCACATTAATGATAACTCTGCTGTCCTTGTGCTGGCACAGGACCTGCCATGGCAGAGCTGTGGGAATGCCTGGAACACCGACCGCTGCTTCTCCAACTACTCCCTGGACGACACCACCAACCTCACCAGTGCTGTCACCGAGTTCTGGGAGTACGTCCACAGCCTGCCTACACCAGGTTTCTTCCCCTCGCCACGGCCATTGCACCTGCTTGCCGTGGCCATGCCCACCGGCACCTTTCCTTGGGTAGCCTCAGCAAGAGGGCATCAGAGCCAGCTGTTGGCTGGGGTGGGCATGGGTATGGGCATGGGCATGGTCATGCGGTGAGCTGTGCAGCCGCAGGTCAGATGGATAGAGAGGATAACAGCCTCTCCGCCTCTCTTCTCCTTCCTTTATCCCATCACCACAAGCCTCAGGTCCCTCTAGGGTTTTGCAGGCTCTCGTGCTGTCTGTATCTGGCCCTTTGCCCTCCAGCTGCCTCTGGGATCCCCGATCTCTCTGCCCCCAAGGGTCGGATGTCCCCTTAACGCAAGCTCTCCCACCCCTAGGAGAAACATGCACCAGATGTCCGGGGGCCTGGGGGAGCCCGGCACCATCCGCTGGCCTCTGGCCGGCACACTGGCCCTGGCCTGGCTGCTGGTCTACTTCTCCATCTGGAAGGGCGTGGAGTGGACGGGCAAGGTACGGTGTGAGGACTGGGTGTTTCAGTGCCGCCTCTCATTGCTGCGCTCGGGTCTCGGCTGTCGAAATGTCCTCTGGACTCAATTTTGTTTGAGTGCCTATAACTAAGGTTATGGTGTTTCGAGGCAGAATTGCGGTAGATGCTATTAAGTTCCTGACATTTACTTTTCACGGTTGTAAAAATTGCTACTGTGTTTATGGTAATTTTCGTTCTAAGCGTAGAGAATAGCTCTTCCCTGTAAAGTCACGGGTCTGAGCACTCAGTCTCTTTGGGAAGAGACTTGGGAAAATATTTTCAGAGATTGCTTACATTTCCTACCCCAGCACAGCCCTTTGAGAGACCGAGGCCTCTTCTAGGCTCCCCCTTTTGAAAATCATGGTCTCTTAAAATGCTGCTGGTGGAAAAAAAACTCACCACCTCCTTTGAAAATTTTCCTGCTCTCCTTTAGGTATTGGTGGGAGACCTTCAGATCAGAAGCATGCTGTTATTCACTGTGTAGCATTTCAGGCTAGCACAGCAGAAAGGTAATTGCTTAGTTTAGTGAAACAGCGATGCTGAGATACTGAGATGTGTTATTTAGAGCACAGCGTGGTGTAGTGGGACAATATTATGAAAGGAATGATCTAAAGGAGAGATCAGAAAGAAGCACTCCAGGCATAGGTCACCTAAGCTGTTAACTTCCCCACTGGCTCTCAAACAGGTTTTAGCTACGCAGCTGCAGCAAAGCCCTGGCGATTGCCCTTACGGGCCCTGTGATGAGGGATGGCACGTACCCGCGAGGCCCTGGAACAGTCCTGAAGAGAAAGCGGTGGAGTCAATACAACTGACGTTGCTTGATGCATTGAACTAGGGAAACACCAGCTTTAGCTCTGCAAAATAAGGATATGATGACTTAAAGGGATTACTTCTGTGGACTAAATTTATCCCTGTGCAATTCCCTTGTCTTTGGGCAATTCATCCACACTTTAGCATGCTACTTTTGTGATTAGTGCGTCCTTGCATGTCATTGGCAGGGAGAAAGCTCAAACAGCCAGAAACATTATTAGCACGTCAACAGGAGATGGAAAAAGCAAGGAAATGCTGCAGAAAGTGGCTGTGCGCAGGGAGCCCATCCCCCTCGCAGAGGGGCTCGTCGGACGCAATGCCACCGTGGGTAGGAACGCTCCTGGGCAGTGGTGGGCTGATGGCTTCTCTCCCATGGTGTCTTTCGCAGGTGGTGTATTTCTCAGCCACCTACCCCTACTTCATGCTTTTCATCCTCTTCTTCCGGGGAGTCACGCTGCCAGGAGCCAAGGAGGGAATCCTTTTCTACCTCACGCCCGACTTCAGAAAGCTCTCTGAATCCGAGGTTTGTAGCCTAGTGAGGAAAGCTCTTACCTTTCGGTTGTCTCTGCATTAGTCTTCCTCAGGCACTTCCCTTGAATATTTTAAGTATTAAAAAAATACTGGAATGATTCCCTGTTCAAACAGTCACGACTCTCACAGGCTGAGACAAAGCTGAAGGGCAGGCACTTCAGGGGTGGAAATCTGCACAGCAGCTCTGTTTTACTCCAGCTGTGTTATCCATAGGGACAGGGGGTTCAGAAATTACCCCACAAAGGGAACTCCCCTCTGAGCTGGGAATGTCTCATTTCACCGACTGTCCCAGGGCTGGTGATTTGGTCTTGATCTGGTGGTCCCAAAGAAAGAACAATGTGGTGGTGCTGGCATGGGGGCCTCAGAAGCAGCACACGCACAACAGTACACACAGCAACAATCTTTGGATGTGCTTAAATAATGAGTGGTGGCCAGTAACGTTGCCTTGGTCGGTGGCAGCACAGAGAGGACCCAGGAGGAGGACAGAGACTTGCAAAGGCAAAGATTTTCAGGACACACAGACTCTGCCTTTTGCAGCAGTGATGCTCCCGTGGCTCTGGAGTCACCAGTCATGTGTGAATGGGGACAACTGGACACCCATCATTTCCTGAGGGGTCCCAAGGATCCCTCCCGCAGGACACTCACTGTAACTGTACTGCCTGCTGCATTGGCTCTAATGCTGGAAACAGGGCTCTCAAGACCAGAAGAGTTATTTAAATATTGTGCAATTAAGAAACCAAGAGTCTGCCCTTTTTTCTTGTGCCTTCTTAAGGCACTGGGACCAGCTTTGCAAGCTGTCCTCTGCCATTATTTGCACAAGAAACTCCATGTTGGAAAATCAAAGACACGCTAGTGGAAGTGGAGTGGAGGGGGTGAGCACGGGCTGTGGGTCTCCAAGGGGAGCAGCACCCCTTGGGGGGCAGCTGTGAGAAAGCAAGCACACACACAAATTCAGATGATACTCGAGTCCTTTCTGACCTGCATAAGGAGCTGAGGGACACGATTCAGGAAACAGGATGCATGATCCTTCCTCCATCCCCATCCATCCCTGGAAGCAGCCTCAAGCCACAGGTTTCAGAGGGCTGGGGATGTACGTCTGGTGCTGGGCCAGGCTGCCCTCTTGATGCACTTGCCACGTGGGAAGGATGCAAGCCCCCTGCTCCTCTTCCTCCTCCTCTTCCTCAGGGAGGCATTGCTCTCTAGCAGGGTCCCTCCTGACACTGCAAGCAGGAGAGTCATATGCCACATCCCCGACCCGGTGCCCTGTGTTAAAGGCCCCCCGGCAGCACCGTTCCCCTGGGGGGATGCGCAGGGGCTCTGCTGACCCCACGCAGCTGCAGGATGCACAGTGGCTCCAGGAGGCAGCGTGCTCCAGCCATGGCTGTGCAAAACAAATGCACAGCATCACCGCCCCGCAGGCGAAACAGGGCTGCACCAGCCATTAACATGACTCTCCTCTCTGCCTGCACCATCTCTGAGCCCTACCTTACCCTGGAAATAGGTATGCAGAAAGGCATGGAAAAAAGTCTGTCTTCATACACATTCAGCCTGGTTGGCAGTAACACAGCTACAGGTTTCAAGGTGGCTCCTGTGACATTTCTAGCCACTGGCCCTAACATTTCCTTGGAGATTGGGTCAGCAGCCACCATTGCAGGCTCCCACGGTCCTAGTGACTGAGTGCCCTCAGGTCCTGACCACCCCAGTGGTCTGTACGGCCAAGTCCACAGCCCCACGGTCTGCATCCAGCCCCCTCGCTAGCCCTGCTCTGAGTTGCTGCAGGAGATGTGCCTGCAGCATGGAGTTCCTCCCGCCACACTCCTCTCCTGGCTCCTTCTCCGCAGGTCTGGATGGATGCAGCCACGCAGATCTTCTTCTCTTACGGCCTGGGGCTGGGGTCCCTGATCGCTCTGGGGAGCTACAACTCTTTCCACAACAACGTCTACAGGTCTGTTGGGTTTTTTCCAGCCTCCTGCATGATGGGGAGTGCTCACAGGTGAGGTAGGGGATCACGGTGAGTCTGGGGTACCTGACCTCTGATGTCCTCTTGCTGGCAACACACAGCCCAGGATCACGCTGTGATGGGCGTAGCGCGGCTGTCGCACCAGCAGGACACTTAACATGTCACCTGCGCAACCTCTCCAAGGCACAGGAACTGCTCTTGGAAGGGCTTGGTCTTTTGTTTACCCCATCCTTTGCTCCTGGCCTCTTGGTAGGGACCTGCAGGTGGTTTCTTTTCTTTCTTTCTCTCTTCCAGAGACTCCATTATTGTCTGCTGTATAAACTCCACCACAAGCATATTTGCTGGATTTGTTATTTTCTCTATTGTTGGCTTCATGTCACACATCACGAAGAAGTCGATTTCAGAGCTGGCTTCCTCAGGTAAGCAGAAACCTAGGTTCAAATGCAACAGCAACCTTTGAGAGCAATTTGTCAGTGAGCATGGGATGCTCCCAGGCCTTTCCTGACAGGGACCTAAGTGTGCAACCCTCTTTGCACGCCCTCCCACCAAGATGGGTCTCAGGCACCTGTGGCTGATGTTCATCGCACCCTGGCTGCACAGGACACCTCCACCTGCTTATAGTGCTCACCTTCTTTTAGTCCTGTAGTTTTATGTGCTTTTGCTGCAGTGAAATATTTAGGCCATTTGCTTTCTGAAACATTCCTATGGAGAATAGATACTGTCTATGTTTTCAGCAGACGTGATCAAAGTTTGGAGACCCTTTTCCATGCAAAATTTTGAAATTGTAATCTCAGAATAATTTTTTAACCAAGATGGGACTGTGATTTTTCACACAAAGACATATTTTGAAATTGCTGTCTTCCCAGGGAAAGCTTTTATCTCAAGAAACAGCATTTTGTGATAGAAAAAAAAAAAAAGACATCAGGAAAGTTATAACCAGCTCTGAATATCAGTTTATTTTTCTAGCAAAAAGTGCTCCATTTGGTAGCAATAATCTGATGACTTTCTTGCTTGCAGGAAGAGAAAAGGCAAAGTGTTTCTCCAGTCATTCCTGCCTCCCCATCCTAGCCCTGTGCAGCCCACTGAGTTGGTGTGTCACAGGCAAAGGCTCAGGTGTTTCTAGCTCCTATATTAAATAGCTGCAATTCTTGGCCATGATAGTTGTCTCTCTGTTCAACTGTGGCCCTTAGCTCAGACTTCCCATCAAATGCTTTGTAAACATGTGTTCATCCCTCTTTTCATTACACAGGCCCTGGACTGGCTTTCCTCGCCTACCCACAGGTTGTCACACAGCTGCCCCTATCCCCGCTCTGGTCAATCCTCTTCTTCTCCATGCTGATGATGTTGGGTCTGGATAGTCAGGTGAGATGATCCAGGGACAAAGTGGGGTAAGATACAAAGATATCTTCAGATACGATGACAGTGTCCCCTTCTGCACCTTAGGACAGTGCTGAGCAGGGTCTTTTCTTACTCTTCATGGTGAAATGCAGCTGCATGAAACAAAACCTCCCGTGTAGTCATCACCTCTGTGCTCTTCCCTAACATAGGCCTATACTGCAAGTGTGGTGGTATGTGACCACTACCCATGGCACCAGTCCTTGTCCTTCTGCCAATTAAAAATAAGAGTAATGACCAGCTTCCAGCAGCCCAGCAGAACCAGTCAGCCTTTTAAGACAATCACCACTTCCCCGTAGGAGGAGAGGATCTTTGGAAAGGTTTTCTCTGTTCAGAACAATTTTTGGCCATAGTGAAGTCCTGGTGCTGCTGCGTTGGCACAGCATTTCCCCATCTTGCTGGGTGACTCTGGCAGCTGAGCTCACAGGCTCTAAGTAGAGCTAGCAGGAAACTATCCCTGGCAAAATACTTTTGGGCAAGGGGAAAAGGAGAAAGACTTCTTTCAAGTAATAACTGCTTTGTTCTTGTAAGACATGATTTCCCTCCACCCCCGAAACAGGTATGTGAAATAAGGGAAATCAGTTTTAAAACTGCTTCATTTCGTGCCTGCATGGCAATAGTTTGTGGTCATGGCAGCTCTCTTGGTACTTTGTGAGAAGCTCAGTTTGGATACTTCGGATTTTCTTATTGTGTCACCTTGATCAAACTCCATTTCTGGTGAGGCAAGAAAATGTCATTACTTTGGCTTACTTTCATAGGTTAGGGTAGAAAGTCTCAATCTTCTCTACTCCCTGGAGCTGGGAGGAGCATCTCTGCAGAAGGTACCAGTCTCCAGCCAGCCCCAGTACTCTGGTGCAGTATTGACAGGTTGCGCTGAGAAAAGCGGTGATGCGGTGTTTGAATTCGGGCTCTCGCATGGTGTGAAGATGGTGGTTTGATGCAGCGTTTCAGCATTGTTGTTGGTAACAAAAGTGGCCCTGAAGAGAGCTGAAGCTCCTTGGTCTGGTTCATAGAAGAGCAGGGGCAGATCCTGGTAGAAGGAGGAGACGTGCCTTGGAAAGTCTGGTGCCTGGGTATCCTGACTGCTTTGCCATCAGATAAGTCTTACAAGATGTTTGAGGGAGAAGCAGCTGGGTGCAGCAAAAGGTCTCTGCCCTGCCCCCTTCAGAGCCCTCACAAAACAAAAACAAAATCATGGTCTTTGTGTTTTTACAAGCGGTGATATCTTTTTTCTGACAATTTAGTGTACAAGTAGCTACCCAGTGAAGCAGTGAACTGCAGCGTGTCTCCCTTTTGAGTGCATCAAAACCAAAGGCTCCTTCAAAAGCCTGTGCCTGGTCTGTCACATCCTCCCCTGTGCCTGTGTGCTCTTTCCTTGCAGTGCAAACTGCCAGTACAAAATGGATGCTCTCTTGGATTACAGGTAGCGTTCATAAACCTAGATCGAGTTCATAATCAGACTCAGACCTATTCCTGAAATGTCACACCTGGTTTCGAGGAAAATCTCATCTGGTTTTCAATTATAGCACATCCCCATAAACACATCATAAAGCTCGTGTCTGCATTACCACAGACATTATTTGGCAAATAATTTCAAATAACCACTAAATGTTCCAAAAGAAGCTACATTTATAGAAAAAAAATTACTCTCCATGGATTATTCACTCAGCACTGGTAAATAGTTTGAGACATGACAATAAGCCCTCTAAGCACTGCGTGGAATTTATTTGCTGCACTTGCTTCTGAAATACCACTTGAAATTCTCCAAGTCCCTTCTGACAGCTAGTCTCGGAGGGCATGCAGTCCATGGGGGGCTATCATTGCCTGCAGGATCCGGGGGGGAACAAAACATCAAAAGAAAAACAAGCTTTTAAAAAAGCACGGATAAATACATGTGAAGAAGCTTTCTGTCTGCATGATGGAACTCTGATTCAATCAAACACACTATTAACAACATGACAGCTTATGTGTATAAAACAAATAACATAGGCTGCAACAATGGCTGCAATTGCACATGCATTTTGAAGCATCCAGTTTAAAAAAAAAAAAAAGAAAAAGAAAAAAAAGAGATGGTTTTGCTATGTGCTGATTAATTATTATTTGTGTTATTTACAGATGGGGAGCAGCCATTTTTCATTTGGGTCAGCAGCGCAGTCCATGAGGCATGGCAGGGCCACAGGGCATTTCTTGCACCCTGCACCCCAAGGGCTGCCGGGCTGGGGCTGCCCCTTGTCACCAGCCTGTAGGCACGGGTCTGTAGGCACAGCAGGGATGCTCAGGAGCCCAGCTAGCCAAGGAAGGTCGGGCTGAGATCTAGGTTTGTGACGCAGCAACAAGACCCAACCCCTTAACGATGATGGGAGTAGGTTCACCCATGTCCATTAGCTTCGATAGCGAGTCTTCTGCAGTTGCAGCACAGCTACATCTGCCTCTTTCTGCCAGGGTGCTCATCTCATCTGCAGTTACTTGAACAGGATGAATGACCTATATTGATAGGCACGCGCCTCACTCCTCTGCCCCCACTTGCCGCTCGTGTGCCTTAATGTTCACTCTGTCTCTGATCCATCCGGGTTCTCGTTCTCTTGTGTCCAGACCCTCTTGCATAATATGCTAATGCTTTCTTTTAACCTACCAGTTTCCAGGTCAGGCATTTTTGTCCTCAGGGGAGCTAGCAAGCCTTGTGATTGCAAGCCTGCGTCTGTCCCATGTGAGGCTGCCTCTCACAGGTTCATTCATGAGGATTTCCAGCTGCCAGCAGTGAGACCCACTGTCATGGCTCTGTGCTGCACATCTGGCAGCTGTGGTCAAACTCCCCACGGGCCCATGGCTCCCAGTCTGGATGCTCTGCATGGCCAAGGAAGGAATAGCAAGGGCTAACACTGGGAGGGTGGGAGAGAGACTTTCCTTCAGACCGAGGTGCCACCTGTATTGACTCCCAAGCCCAGATTATCGAACCCATTAACTTCTGTAATGATTAAGCCCCTGAAAGGGAAAAAGAGCAAAGGAGAGAAGTGGATGGAAATAAAATATTTAGGAGAGAAACAATATCATGGGATGAGGCATGAGGAAGAACAGAAAAATTGCAGCTGGAGATGGTGAGAAAAATTGAATTTTTTGGAAAGCAGACTAAAGAGTGTGCGTGTGTGTGTGTCTACAAGTGCACACACAGGGCAAAGGTGAGAAGAGGAGGCATCACAATGACAAGATCCTCACTCCTGAAAGCAGCATGCTTTCACTCAGGTGCCTACTTATCTTCTGTGAGCACCTAAGGTTGGGTATGCAAGCCAGGAGCTGTGGACCCCACGCCAGCCAGGGAGCTGCAGTCCCCCGGGCTGGAAAGGTGAGCCTCCTCCAGGCTGCATCACCTCCAAAGCCTGAGGCTAGCAAGAGGCAATTTTCAGTAAATGGTATGAAGGCCATTGCCTGTTGTATGGCTAGAAAAAGCCATGTGCCACCATTTGGTTCCCCACCTCATCCATTACACAGCTGCTTAATTTTGATAGGAAGCAAAGAGATTTCAACTCACTTCATAGCCCTGTTCCTCATCACCCATCTCCCTGTCTTTCCCTCTGTGCTTTCCATGACTTTGATCCATCTTCCTGCACCAAAGGGCTGTCAGTTTTACTCACTCCCATTATCTGAGGCATTTTTTTCTTCACTTCTTCTCCACTGGACACCCCCCACATCCACCCTCTGACCCTGACCACCCCTGGCTCCCCTCAGAACCCCTTTCCCTCTCTGCCTTGCCTGGTGCCAGACTGCCTGGCCCTGCCTATGGCTCCGGCAGCGCCTGACCATGCATCCACGTGGAAGGAATAGCTTTCGACAGTGTTTTTTGTGTCATGTTGGCTCTTCACACTGTGGTGCCAGCTCAGTCCTGACTTTTCCAGACAATGAGATAGGTGGGATGGTGTGAAGAGCTCACTGTCAATGAGTATAAAGGCATCTTAACCCATGCCCGAATGGCAAAAGATGCTTTAATAGCACTTGTGTCCAAGATAAAAGGCTTAGCTCATTAAAATTTTGAGTTGAAACAGTTGAGCTTTGATGCTTTGGGAATACCGGCTTTCTGCACTGCACTGTGTGGATATAAAACCCTAGGCAGAAACATCACTCTTTACCTCACTCTGTCCCACATGGAAGCCAGGCCCAGCAGTGTGCAAGCTCTTCCACTGTTTCTGCCCAGCTATAGGCATGGCTCAGACTTCCCACTTTTCTTGCATACATCTTTCCAGCCCTCTGCTGCTCTTTTATGTCAGTGTACCTTTACCTCCACCTCTACTCTACATATTTTTTCTTCTTGTCTCCTTATTCAAAGCTGAACCTAAAAATGCCAGCACTTTCTAGAGCGCTTTCCCAGGGACAAGGGGGTCCCTGACATCCAAGAGCAATGAAACCTCTTTGATTTTCATTACACTGGCTTGTACACTTACCAAGGGTAATCAGGGAAGCTAGAAACTTGCTGCCCTCATAAGCTTCCCAGGATTTTGGCTAGAGGCATGATGTGCTATCTGAGAGCTGCATGATACCAGTGGTTCCTGGGAGTGAGATATAAAAGTGAATCTCACAATTTATCAAGAAACAGGAGGGAAGGATGTACTTCACATATATACAGTCAAACTGTCCTCATACCATAGGGCAGAACTAGTAGGAAAACTGATTTGAAGGTAACAGTCCTGGGGAGTTCTTTGTGTGTCATGATGCAGACCATGCAGACCATGCACTGTGCCTGGTATAGCACTGCACAGGCCATCCAGGTGTTTTCAGCTCTAGAAAGACCATGCGCTCCGAGGATGGGCTTTAATGCACTACATGCATTTAATGTAGTGTGCTTGAAAAAGTGAAATAAAGTCAAAGACTGGGTAGCCAGAGATGTTGTAATTATGCACATGTATGTGAGACTGGGCAGTGGGTAATACAGCTCCTTAATGAGTGTTTTAGATCATTGAACAGCACAAGCGCTGTTGCAATAGACTGAGAAGAGCACACATGGGAAAGGAAGAGCAAGCAAAGACCAGTACGTGTCCCAGCAGCAGAGAGACAGACGGACGGACAGATGCTCAGCTGTGACAGAGAGCCTGGCAGTGGGGGGGAGCAGGGCAGTGGTGGGGAGGCCCTAGAGAGTTTGGGGGAAGAAAGAGGAGGTTTTCCATGGGAGGCAAAAGGCAGAGATTTATCTCGGCTAATTTTAGGTATTTACCCCTGGTGCCTTTAGCTTCCTCTATATTCAGTGGAGGGAGAGAGGCATTTTCAGAAGATGGTTCAGACCAACTTTGTGCAGAGGTGCCTCTTTTTCTAGTGTCTGCAGAGAGCACAGAGTAAAATGTTGCTGGAGGTGACGTCAGGCTAAGATACTTATGTATGTGTCCTCAGCATATACCTTTTCCCGTAGTTCTGCACTGTGGAAGGGTTCATTACAGCCCTGATGGACGAATATCCTCATCTCCTGCGAGCCAGGAAGAAGGTCTTCATTGCAGTAGTCTGTTTCATCTCTTATCTCATTGGATTCTCCAACATCACTCAGGTACAAATAGCCATGCTCGTACCTCCATTCGTGGCACCTTTCTAGTCACTCTGGCATAGCACAGCAGCACCATAAGCTTTGGAAGAAGTGACGGCATCACTAGGAGCCATCCTAACGCTGGATAAATGGGCTTGCTCATCACTGCTACATCTCAGGTGACTTAGGATGTCTCCATAATTTTTACTGCCATCCTGTTGTCAGTCAGACTTGGTTTTTTGCTATTTGCAATAAAGGCTCAAGCCAACAGAACTCAAGCTGAGGCAACACTTGGTGCAAAGGGTTAAAATAACATAAGGAAGACCAGTCTGCTGGGGCTGTGAACCTCTGGAGCTGAAGCCAAGGCTCACGTGTGTGGAGGTTAGGGCTGAGTGGTCTGAATACCATTTGTGGGGCACTGTAGGTTCATAAGGAGCCAAGGCAGTAAAACTCCTGGGGGGGCAGAGCAGGCTAAATTAAGTGACTCCATCTAAAGCAGAAAAGTAACAAATCCTGGTGAATCTCTGCTTTTCTCCTCACCCTTGGCCATGCCTGAACAGGCTGGCTAATTGTCTGCAAGAGCACATCAGTTTTGCTGCTGGACTTCAGTGGAAACATTGCAATGCTGGCTCTACTGTCCAAGGAAATTAACATTAAAGCCAGCAGATGCAGATAGCAGCAATTCAAGAAACTACCCGATATTGTCAACCATAATCTATAACTAAACTCCTTGACCCTGGTTTTGTCTCCTCAGGGTGGCATTTATGTCTTCAAGCTGTTTGACTACTACTCAGCCAGTGGCATGTGTCTTCTCTTTCTTGTCTTCTTTGAGACCATCTCAATTTCTTGGTGTTATGGTAAGCACAAAAGACCTTGCTCCTTTGTTTTCTCCATGGGCACAGTGAGTTATTTCAGAAGCCTCCCATAGGGAAGCCAATGAAAACTTTGCAACTGAAAATAGCTTAGGCTGATAACTCCAGAAAATCAGGAGCAGAAGGCTGTCATCTCACTTCTCCAGGCCACCACAAAGACCTCTGCACAAACTGGCAGATGCCTAGGGTCCTGCCCTCTGGTCCTTCAAGAGGACACCAGGAACATGGAAGCTGCTAGCACGAATTTGCTTGTGTGTCCCCATACCCCATCCCTTCCAGATAATGCTTCTCATGCCACAGCACTGTCACCCTCTTGCTGTGGCTGGCCTGTGCTGTGTCATGAGAAGAGGTGATAGCCATAGTGCTGAGATGGGATTTTTTTTCAACGCTCATTTCTTCTTGTAGGTGTGAACAAATTTTACAGGAACATTGAAGAAATGATTGGCTACAAACCTTGCATCTGGTGGAAGATCTGCTGGGCCTTCTTCACTCCTCTTGTCTGCCTGGTAAGACCTGGGGCATCCTGTCTGCAGGAGTGGATCCAGAAGGGCCTCTTAGTTTGGATGGGCTGTAGGGGAAACACTAAGTTCTTGACCCAGTATAGGTCTGATGCAAGGTGGTCCTAGGCAGACTTGAGACGGATAAAGTAATACAGGAGCCTCTTTCACTCTGCCTGCTGGAAATCACCCGTGAGAAAACCTCTAGGTGATTGTTCTAATCTAAAGGAGGCCATCAGTTTTTCATTCTTCTTTCTGAGATGCCAAAAGATAAGCAAATAATTTACTGTTTTAAAAAGCTATTATTGGTTCTGGGGAAGGCTCTCAGCTACTCTAGCTTCAGCCTTAGCCCCTGATACGCTTGTCAGAGAAAAAGCTATCAGCAAACGCAGTATAACTGACTGCGGAACAGTTTTGCCTTTGCTGGTTCCTGCACTTCCAGCGGCAGTAGTACAGGGAATGGTGTGAGAAAGCCAGTGACAGGAAGCTGAAGGCTCCTGAGGCCAGCTGTGAGGATGCTGTTAACTTGCTTAGGAGCTGGTGTGGGGGCACTGCTTGTCTGAGGAGCCTAGTGAAGAAGGAAATCAGGGATATTCCATTTGCTGCTATATATATAGGATAATAAATTATATGAAATTACCACTTGGTGGGCTGAGAGCATCTGGACTAGTTTAAGGAGTTATTGGGTTGCTGTAAGACCGTTGGGAGTGAAGAGGATAGTGAATGGATGGACAAAACCTGATTTTGCGCACCTTCACCTGTGATGGCTGGTGCTCTTTCCCCAGGGCGTGTTCTTCTTCAGTGTGGTGGAAATGACCCCTCTGACACTGGGAAAATACATTTATCCTGCGTGGGGACAAGGCATTGGTTGGCTTATGGCTCTGTCCTCCATGGTACTGATTCCAGGGTACATGCTATACTGTTTCTTCACCTCAACGGGGACTCTTCGGCAGGTATGAACAGCTTCACCACTCCTCTTCTGCTCTCTGCTTAGAGTAAGCCCTGCACTGAACTAAGCCTAAGAAGAACCAAGCAGATTCTGCTCTGACAAAGCCATCAGAGTACTCCAGGTTGGTGCTGCAGAAGCTCTGTGC